TCCCAGGGGACGGGGGATCTGGGGCGTTAAGCGAGAGGGCGCGGCCGGCGGGCTGCCGGTGCTAGCTCAGGAGCCCATACCTCGGGCTCCTCGCCCCGGCTCTAGCTCGGGCCCTGCTTCCTTCGCAGCCCGAGACTCCGCCTCCCGGTAGGGCGCTCGGCGTTACCCCCTCTCCCGGCGGCAGGTGCGGGGCGCCGGGAGGCCTGTTCCGGCATCCGCCGCCCCTAGGTCCCGGGGACCTGCCGGGGGTGGGGAGGTGCGGCAGGGTCGCGCTCGCGCTGCCTGAATATACCCACCTTTCGCGTCCCTGAGGCCCAACCCCCTGTCTTGTCCCGCCCTGCCTACCTTGGGAAGAGGGGCTCCTCTTGCAGTCTTCAGCGTGGCCCCTTTGGCTTGACAGCATTAAAAAAACCTTTCTGCTCCCGAACCGCGTGGAATGAGGATGGCTGCGTGGTTACACATGCTCAAATTAAGTGGGCTCAGAGTGGCACCAAAGAAAAAGAAAAAGGAAATTGTTTTACGCAGTTATCTTCTCTGGCATTTTGTAAGGACCCGGAGCTGGCTTCCTTCTCTACTATAGGAAGGGATAGGCAGGGCAAGATCATTATCAAAGGCATGTCGGTAGGGCTACTTTTAATACTTCCAGCTTAGGAGAAAAGTGATTCCTTCCTTTCATTTACTTTTCTCAAGAAGGGGAATTTTAGTTTTGTTTTGGAGTGGTAGAAAGAAATTCAAAGCATCATTAATTAGGTGCATGCCCAAGAGTTTGCACCATCATTTCTATCCTAGAGGTTAAATGTATATAGTAGACAGTCATATGCTTGCATATTCCTCAAAAAGCTCTATTTTCACTACACGTTAAGTTTGGGGGACATTGGGGATACTTTCTGACTCTACAATAGACAGGAATTTTGTCAGATTTGGATGGAAATCCAAAGAATTACTCAAATGGAATGGAACTGCTTTTAATTCCGTCAAAACAAATAGTTACGGACCAGCGCTGCCCAATAGGGTAGCCACTAGCCACTGTGGTTATTGAGCTCTTGAAATGTGATTTAATGTGAATCGAGACGTGCTGTAAGTATAAAATATACATTGAGTTTTGAAAATATTCAGGAGAATGAGTGTAATATCTCAAAATTTTTAATGTTGATTACTTCTTGAAGTGATAATATTTGATTATATTGGGTTAAATGCAATATAGTGTCGAAATTATTTCCGATTTACTTTTTTAAAAGACACCTGGATCCTAAAATTTATACAGTTGACCGTTGAACAGGTTTGAACCACTCAGGTACTCTTATACGTGGATTTTAAAAATCTGCCTTGTTCAAGGGTCAACTTTAATTACATATGTGAACCGTATATTTATACCGGGCAATGTTAATCAAACCAGGAGTGCTGCCCTTAATTATGAAGGAGGCTGCTTTTAATGAGTTACTGATCATTTGATTGGTTCAGTATGGTTTGCCCAACAATACATACTTTGATTTCATGCCCTCCCCCCACACTAAGTATAATGCAGGAGAGCAAAGTAAAGAAGGAGACTTTTAAGGAGTTAAATGTCCAGTGCCTTCTGAAGGGAT